CTATACACTAAAAATTTCTTCAAAAGGTGTATTTCTAACACATAGGTATACATATTACTCTAATTCATGATTTCCCAACATGTACTAACACATAAGAAATAAATAAATAAGAAGACTACTATGTGAGTTCCACGTTAAAATTCATTATCTAATACCTTTAAATCAAGAATTGGATCAACTAGTTGATCCAATTCTAATTCCTTAATTTTCTATTCTTAAATTCCTCAATGACTTTTTCCATTCCTAATAAGTGCAGGGAAAATAATACTTCCCATATAATTTTCTGAGGTGAATAATGTGTATTATATTTATAGTGACATGCATTCTATAAAAATAAAACTGTATTACAATGGCACTTTTTCTTTTTCGAGGATGTATTAATTGAGAAAAAGCCCAAGTGCGAAATCAAGCATGCCAAGCTAAAAGCCCAAATTAGCAACAATCCATATTCCATTTCCATAAGATCGATTACAATATAGTTCAAAATGGGAAGTAGAATCCAAAGTCCAAATTGATGGTGGGCAGGGCAGAATGCAAATTTGAAGAATTTAATATATATAAAAATCTAATTAAAAATGCTGCAACGGCCAGTCAATTTTGCAAATTGAAACCCTGTCCAGCCTGCCAATTAAAATCAAGCAGAGAATGTTGAGGCAAGCACGACTGGCACGTAAGCAAATAGTCAACTAAACCACTTTAATTTTTTATATTTAAAACAAAAATAAAATAAAATAAAATAAAAAAGGAGGTCAGCTGGCGGGTAACGTTGGTTTTGGTTGGCACTGGGCAGAGTTCACGTGGCTCTCACTTTGTATAATTCAAACACATCACAAGCAAAAAAGAAAAAGGAAAAAAAGAATCCCAAGAAAAAAGTTGAGCACGTAGAAAGAAGGAGAATCAGGAACCACTTGGAAAAAGGTGGCCTGCCCTTTTCTTCATCAACCGTCATCTCTCTTTTCCCAAACTTTCCCAACACTGTTGGATTGGATATTCAAAGGAAGCAGAGAGCTAAAATTTGGAGCTTAAAAAAAAAAACCCTTTTCTTTCTTTGTCTTCTTTGTATATTACAGAGAGCTACAGTGGTCCAATCTTCAATGGATATTTCTATGAAAAGAAGAACTCTGCTTAAGGTCATTGTCCTTGGAGATAGTGGGTATGTCTTACTTTTTTTCTTTTTTTAATTTTATTTTTGATGTAATGGGTTTTGTTTCCTGCATTTTCTTTAATATATGAGTTTTTTTTTTGTTTTTTGTTTTTGGTTTTTTGTGGTATTTCAGGGTGGGAAAGACGTCTTTGATGAATCAGTATCCTTTGCACTCACAAACTATTCTGTTCCACATTGATTTATGCAAACTCATGCATGACATTTGAATTTGCTGCAATTGGATTGGAAATCCATTGTTATACATGTTCTGTGGATCCTTAATTTGTTGTTTAGATATGTGTACAAGAAGTTCCATCGACAGTATAAAGCTACGATCGGTGCCGATTTCGTCACGAAGGAACTTCAGATTGATGACAAGTTGGTGACTTTGCAAGTGAGTGATTTAATCAAAGCAATTAGTATTTAGTAGCATCCATTCATATTAACAAAAGGCTTTATGCTGAGTTTTCTTTGCTGCTGCATCTGTCTTGGACAGGTTTGGGACACAGCGGGGCAAGAAAGATTTCATAGTCTTGGAGCTTCGTTTTATAGGGGAGCTGATTGCTGTGTTCTTGTGTATGATGTGAATGTGAGCAAATCATTTGAAACACTTCAGAACTGGCATGAAGAGTTTCTCAAACAGGTTTGGTTGAATTGCTTTGTTGCTTGCTTCTTTATGCTCCAAATTTTTCTGTTCATGGTAACAAACAAGACAGCAAATGATTTATAAGGTCATTGGAAATTAAAAAAAGTTTAGGCCCTGTTTGGTATTCAATTTGAATCCAACTTTTTAAACTCAAAAACAAAATTTGAGTCCAAAACAAAAAAAACATGTTTGGTAGCCCTATTTTTAAAAACTCAAACTCAAGAACAACTAAAAAACACCTCAATTATTAAAAACAAAAAATATTTGTTTTTTCAGTTTTTTTCTAACAACCCACAAGTTCTCAAATTTTTAAGATTTGAAAACAGTTTTGAAGTTGCATACCAAACAAGTTTTTGAATATTAAAAATAGATTTAAGAACTCCTTGTTTTTAAGAAAAATCAAACTTTTTGAGTTCCCTATTTGAATAGGATACCAAACGCCCCCTTAGTATTCAACTTAAATCCAACTTTTTAAACTCAAAAACAGAATTTGAGTCCAAAACAAAGAAAACCTGTTTGGTAGCTTTATTTTTAAAAACTCAAACTCAAGAACAACTCAAAAATACCCAAATTATTAAAGAGATATTTTGTCATATACCCATTCTTAGCACTAAAACAATAAATAAACCCTTACACCATTTAATTTCTATAAACAAACCAAAAAAAAACCCCAAAATGATAGTTGGCCCTATTGAATTTAATTTTGATTATTAAATTACTTTGATGCCCTATGGAGTGTTTTGAGCTTTTTTATGAGATTTTGGGTTTGGGTTTATTTTAAGAAATCAATGACAGTTTTGTAATTTAAAAGAAGTTAAAATCATTTTTGTTATGTTGTAAATGGACTTTGGGTTTGTTTCTAAAGTCCATTTCATATTTGTTTTTTTATTTATAATTTGGGCTCTTATATTGGGTATAATAGTGAATTTCCCATTATTAAAAACAAAACAAAAATCTATTTTTTGAGTTTTTTCTAACAACCTACCGTGCCTCTCACCTCTCTCTTCCTCTCTGCCTTTCTCTCTCCTCCCTCTCTCCACGCTTTCTCTATCTCTCCTCCCTATTCTGTATGTCTCTATCTCCTCCTTCTCTCCACGCCTCTTTCTCTCCTCCCATTCTCGTCTTTCTCTCTCTCATCTCTTCCTCTCTGCCTAAGATTTCCAAACTTACATTTTCAGCAGAATCAACATTGCAATGATAGTCGGTTTGGGTTTAAGATTTTCTTTATACCTGAGTCGACGACCAAAAGTGACTGAAGGTGGCCGGATTTTAAGGTTTTCCGACGAGAAAACCCTTGATTTCTCCGACGTCAGTTTGGGTTTTCTAGCAAGGTATAGGGCCGGATCTTTAGGGGAAACGATAGAAGAGAGGTTGGGGGAAACTTTTCCATGAAGGGACCTCGGCCAAAGGTGGCGAGAGATGGTTGAACTGAACTGAGAAAGTCCGGCATCGATTGGATAATTTTTGGATTGTTTTTCCAACTGAAAATTTGAGCTATCCTTTGGCTAATCGAGTTGAATCTTTCATGGGTTTTGTAGAGGAGGATGTGAGGAGTGTTTTTCGTGAAGGTTGTGGTAGCAACAGAGGTCGAACAACGTTGAAAATGGGTTGGAAGTGGTGGTGCCACTGCTCACACGTGAGAGAGAGAGAGAGAGAGAGAGAGTCGGGGATATAGAGAGCTAACTGAGGTTTTTAAAATTTCACTTTACAAAAATTACGGTTGTGCCACTGCTCTTCTGTAGATCATAACTTCTTCGTTCGAGTCGGAATTGAGCTTGCCACATGTCTACGAACTCGCATCAATGAGCTCCATATAATGGTTTAACTCAATTTCCCAAATTCCATTTTGAACAAAAAGTGACCAAAATACCCCTATCCTAAGGAGAACATTGTAATTTGAAAAGAAAATGTTTTCAAGAATTCAACCAAACAAGTTCTCAAATTTTTAAGATTTGAAAATAGTTTTCAAGTTGCATACCAAACAAGTTTTTGAATCTTAAAAATAGATTTGAGAACTCCTTATTTTAAAGAAAAATCAAAGTTTTTTAGTTCCCTATTTGAATAGGATACCAAACACCCCCTTAGCTTTTTATTTCTAGTAGATTAACACAGATGGTCTACAATTGATTTTGATTATGATTATTGGCATTTTCATGAATGGTTACCAGGCTGATCTGACTGACCCCGAGGCATTTCCCTTCGTATTACTTGGAAACAAAATCGATGTAGATGGTGGAAACAGCCGTGCGGTATGAATAGAATGCATAGTGAATTAATTTTTTTTTTCTTTATAGGCTTTGTTCTTGTAATACAATTTAAATTAGCACCCTAATTGTGCAGGTTTCTGAGAAGAAGGCTAGAGAGTGGTGTGCTTCAAAGGGAAACATACCCTACTTTGAGACATCTGCGAAAGAGGATTATAATGTCGACGAAGCGTTTCTATGCATTGCGAAAACAGGAATGATCAATGAACATGAACAAGAGATGTAAGTATACTTTACAGAATCACCAACATTGTGATAATGCATTGAGTTCATGATGCTGTTTTTTCCCCCAACATCTTTTATTGATTTCCCTTTCATGTTTGTCTAGCAAGTAAAGTAGAATCATATTTATATGCTGATTTACTAGTTTGCAATGTTGCAGTTACTTCCAAGGTATTTCAGAAACTGTTTCAGAAGCAGAGCAAAGAGGAAGCTGTGCATGCTAAGGATGGGATATGTATATCCCTACTAATTTAAATATGAATATGTAAATTCTTTCATATATATATTTTTTTGTTCTTTTGAAGGTGGAAGAAAGTGTGTTATATTTTACCATTTTCATGTGTTGTACCATTCATCATATACCATTGTAAGTT